CTGCCACTCCTGCTTAACACTAGATCCTGACTGGGAACCTACAAGAGGCTGCAAGGCGCTATTAGCATGCTGGATGGTAAGCATCTCAAGTAGCTTCTGACAGAGCTGAGCCAAGCCATGTGGAAAATAAAGACTTGGCATTTGCTTTTGTAACTGTAGAACCAAAGGAAAGAGAACGTTGGAGAAGACCATAAGATTACTCTGTTACCTTGTAGCACAACTATAATGCAATTCAGGTGACATGTCCACTACCTTGGATAACATTTTCTGCCAGCCACACACAGGTGCTTTAGAGTAGCACTGAATTCCAGTCTGCTTAGTTTCATAAGACAGTACTTCACATATAACTATTAATGTTCTAGTTGTCTTCTCTCATGACAGTTACACTACGAATGCCATAAAACTGGAGTTAATATTTAGCCCTTTTTATGACACTCTTTGTATACTATAGAAATAGGATAAGACATTCCTATAGAAGATCCCTCAGAGTAGGGAAAACTTGTTAGGGAAGGCTGAGACTGAATGTGCTGAGAAGAGAAGAAAGGAGCTTTGTGCCTACAGACATGGACCTGAAGCCCTTGCTTTACAACCCAAGTTAACTGACCATGCAGAATTCCTTGTGCCTGGAAAATATTCAAGCACTACTTTCCAGAATTGTATGGAACCCTGGAGGAATACTGCTGAAACACAAAATTAAACTATGAATAATTGATAGTCAAAGACTGCCAGCTCCCACAGCCTGCCCACCCAGCTATCAGCATCTTCTCCAGAAAAAACAGAGCAACAAAACCACGTACCAGATTCTGGATACTTCAGCATCAGGACTTATCACTCTATGGTGCCTGGGACTTAAAAAGTGATGCAGAGGACTGAAAGCAAGAAGTTGGTTGCAAAAAACTTAACTTGGTGAGACGTTGGCCTTTCAGTGAAATTAACAAGAAGAGCGTAAGTGATTTCTGACAGTAGCACATAAAAATAAGCCAGTGTGGAGCACTGATTCAGTCTGTTACAGCAAACATCTAAACTAACAGCAACATGTCAGCCAAACACATTCACCAAAAGCAAACTTCTTGAAATATTAAAAAATTGTATTTACAGGTTGTATAACTGTGTAATCCCAGTACACATAGCAAGGCAGACCTGTATACACAAATCTTTGATCTCCTTTGTGGCCATTGTAAAATACTGAGGTGGAAGGAAGAGAAAATAAAAGAAGGGCAGAAAGTGACTTCTGCCCTTATCCTGAGAAAGAGGACGTCCCAAGAAACGTTGCATTCTCTGGAAGAGGAAGTGTATTGGCCATTAAACAGAAGAACCATCCTATTTGGCTTAGAACCCCACAAATGGCATTAACAAACACGGCAGGGAGAATGGTCACTAACATCTCTTTTCTTGGTCCATCCTCACCTCTTTCTTTGAGGCCATTGGCTGCTTGGCCTGGAGGCTGGACTGTTAGCTACAGGTTTGAGCTGAGTTAAGATCAGTTGGGATCTAGTGTCCCTGTTCAAAAAACAGACCTTCTCTGTTCATCACTTTACCTAGCAGAAGAATGAGGAGGCAAGTATTGTCTGTGATTAGACTGGTAAGTGTTGGCCCAGCTGCCAGCTGTATGAGTGGTATATAGCAAACAGTGATTAATGTTCTTGCTTGATGTGTTGCTTGCGTGGTAAATCCTTCAGGTGAGTTGAAGAAGTCTGAGCCAGCTGCCTGGACCCTGTTAGGGAGCTGTGTATACTCTAATTAAAATCAAGTTTTCCTCCTTCAGTATCAAGCACTTCCAATTTTTCCTCTGGACATGTGGCATCTCCATCCTGCCACCTCAGGAGCTTTGCTTGGGGAGCAGCTGGAAGTGAACCACAACACAAGGGTGTTTGGAGCTGCAAGCCCTGAGGGCACGGGAGGTGGGCTCAGTTGGGGTTAGGCACGTGACAGTTTGAGTGTGCGACCATGCACATTTTTAGCCACACACAGGAGCAATAGATACTGTCTGAGGGGTACAGCGGTCCACTCAGCTTTCCTTGAGTTGTGTCTGTCACGCTGCTTGGGCAGAGATTAACTCCCCTCTACTGTTGCAGAGCTGGAGTCCCCCAAGACTGCTTGGCCTTTTCACCTGCTCCCCTCTGCAGCAAAACCAATGGTCTTGCCTTTCCTTACAATTAGGATACCAAAAATAAAGGCCAAATAAAGTACCAAGTAAATAATTAAAATAATGAATTTAAAGTGCCACCTCTGTTGTCACTTTGCAGCTCCAGTGCTGCTGTAGCTTTCTGTGGTTCCTTTCACAAACCTAACAAGCAATTTGAAACCCAAGCCTGCTTCTCATTCTGTTCTGCCTGTGCTTGGACATGACTGCTGTTGCTTTATATGCAGCGAAAGGAATCATTTACCTAAGTAAGGACTTGAAGGAGCAGGCCCTAACTTTTTAAAAAATTCATGCACAAATGTGCACAGAGTTGAAATTAACTTTGTGACTTTGTTATTTCTGCATTCAATTTTAATCATATTGACAAGTGTTTTATCATCTGCAGCACCAGAGATACTACGGGGATGTGCTTATGGCCCTGAGGTGGACATGTGGTCTCTGGGGATTATCACCTATATCCTGTAAGTGCAGAAAATGCCATGGAGTGCTTAATTTGTAAGCGTCTGCAGGTTTCTATGATGTTATGAGCTCTGCTGTTGGAGAACACAAGATCCTTAACTTCAATTATAATAATCCTAACCTTATTTAACTAAGTCAAATCCTAGAAGAGCATGGCAAACCACTCAGATTATATATTTACTAAATATAACACCAATTCCTGAACAGCAACAAGATCTGCTCAGAATCATACTATTGATGTGAATGAGTAGCAGAGAAGCTGCTGAAAGCAAAAATACAAGTATCCAAGTGTCAGAAAGCATCACAGGTTTGGTTATTTTTTTTCTCATTCACACAAACTGTGAGCTATAGTATGATTCTAAGTAGCTTCTCAACTACAGATGGGGGCAAGGAGAAATTAAGGTGGTTGCAGTAGTTTCATGGTGCTTGTGAATATTTCTAAATGCATCTGCCCCATCTGTGTCAGCCACAGACACTGCTAGAGCTTCAGCAGCAGCAGTAGTGTTGCTGTCTCACAGCAGCTGAACCAGGAGGCAAGGAACAACCCTGTACTCTGTGTCTGCAAATCAGTCAGTAGGTTAAATGAATGATGTTGAAGTGTTCCACTTCTTAAAAGATAACCAGAGACACTACTGATTGTTGGTTGTGGAACAATGCTGGCCATACATATTTTAAACAGTTGCAGTTGCAACTGTAGACCTAAATTTTTCAAACAGTTGTGTTTAAAGGTAGGCACTTGTGTCTACAGCTTAAAGTGGCTAGTCCTAATTCAGTTGGTAAGAACTGTAATTACTTTATTGTATCGATGAAATCTTTCAAAGGAAGATTATTGAGCAGGGAAAATTGTATCTGATGTATTGACACATGTCATTATGGGATAATAAATAACTTCATTTATTCCCTTGGCAACACCAGTGCTAAGCTGGCTTGTGTAGTTGTATATGATAATAGCAGGATAACTTCTATGAGAAGAAAGTGGGATTTTACACACATATAGTAAAGGTATGGAGGATTTTATACATCCAGGCTGTATTCTTTCCTCTTCTAGGGCTCATTAACTGTGCACAGCAGGTACAGTGTATAATAATAAAACTATTTCTTCATGTCTTTTGCAAAGGAAGATTTATATTTTCTAGGTTTTATGTACTTGTAAGGCTATATAAGCACTCTGATAGAAATAGCAGAAAACATCTTTTGTTCTGTATGTAAGTTTCAAGTAAGTCGCAGCTCTCCTTTTGGGTGCCTGTAAACAATAGGCTACAACAATCCTATCTGTCATTTTGTTATCTCCTCCTTCTAAAATGTGAATCTTTGTCTCCAGACCTGGTTCAAGTCTGTAGAAGATTACGTCTCAGATACTGCCTGCCAGGTGATCATTTCTTATCAGTGCTACTGGCCCACGTGTAGCAGAGGGACATGAAATTTGCCAGCTGGGCTGTTCCTGAGATTGGATATATGCCTTTTGTTACCCCTTGACAAGGATAGCTAGGTTAAGCCATGGGCTTGCCTAGTTATTCAGCTGTGGGATAGCTGTGGGATAGCTGTTGTACTTGAAACTTCCTTAAGCAGAACTTGCTATGAAGCGTAGGGAAGCTCCCAGGGGTAATGTACAGCAAATTCATGTTTGAATATGTGGGATGGCATTTGCTAAATGCAGCCTTTCAAAATGGTCCAGCTGTTCAGGATATGCTCCTAAGCCACATTAAACCTCTGCACTGGTGCACACTCAAGCATGTGAACTTCTGCTCCTAGTGGAACACCACCAGTACAGATACTCTTCTACTTCCTTCTTCTGTTCCTGTCCTCCTCCCATTTCAAAATCCAATTTTACCTACAGAAACAAGCCAGACACAAAGGGTGCTCGTCAGATACACTGGGCCATCTCTTCCATTTAGCTTTAACAATATGTAACATTGTTAAAATATTGTTATAGTCCTACTACTGAGTATAAAGCGTTGTAGATCAACATGTCTGATGGATTAAAGGATGAGACCAGAAAGGTACATAGACTAATTCACTGCATCCTAAAGAACAGTGTTTCATGTCTCAGTCTCATAGTTTAGTAGAGGGAATGAACTTATGTACAGTCAAAAAAAAAAAATTACCATATAGGTCTCCAAAACAGAGTGGATCTGAGTTATCTACCATGCTGCAGAAGATGTTCATAAAACTGTTACCTTCTCCCCAATATCAAGTGAGCTTACCATGTGATTAAAAAAAACTTCAACACATATTTCCACAGAACAATTATTCCTGAGGCAAATTATATTAAGAACTATTGATGCTAACTGTCATAATGCCATGAAAGCCACATTCATAGTTTTAGCAGCAAAAAGGACCAGTCTTTTTGGTACTCCTGCAGCAGATTAGAAATACTACTGCACATCTGAAATGCAGACAGTGGTCAACAAATACAGAGGCTTTGCCTGGAGTCAAAAATTTGGGTTTAATTAAAGGTGTTTTTTTATTAACTTACTTAAAAAGGCATAAAACATTGTCGGGTAATTTCTAATTAATTTTGAAGCTGTTTACATAGATTTTTCTTTATCTGGTAGGTAATTGATTTAAAAATGAATCAGCATAATAAAATGAAATTTCGTAATAAAATGAAATCAAGGGCAGCCACACTGGGCTGCTTGATTAAATCCTCACTTAATTTCTCTGATTTGAAGTCACACCTCTAGTTTTATGCATCTAACTCGGCATGTAGTGAAAAATCTGTCTGCTGAAATAAAAATGTTTTTTATGTAGAAGCTTATCCACAGAAATTGTTAATAAGACAATAATGGGTAATAGGAGTGAGTTACAATGGAAATATTTTCAGGAGTAAATAGCAAACCACTTAGGTGGCTTCCAGCACAGTCACAGCAAGCCTTAAGTGTGGTCTCCCTGTATGTCATGGGTTACCTGGTATCTAGAAGCCAGTTTTAGCTGAACCACTTAGTGTCCTGACAGCCCTGCTCAGCAAAGGAGCTCCGTGAGGATGGGAGCCGAACTGAGGCACGCCCAGAAGTGGTGGTGGGAGAGACACAGGAGGGGAGCAGCAAAGGGACTGTGATGGGCTCCTGCCTGTGGAAGCACATGGCATTTGGAGGTTGGGTCCTTACGTTTTAATCTGTCTCTGCCAGACTTGGAAATTAATAACATGCCCAGGATGTGCTTACAGTGGAGGCTTTCTCCTTTTCAGCAGTGCAAAGTGATGCAGCTGTTCTGTCCACAGCCACACTCAACTCCCCAAGACATATTTCTTCCTTGAACATGTCTCTTTTCAGGACAGTAAGCACACTGATTTGGCTTAAAAATATAAAATCAAGTTAAAATGTAAGGTTACATTTTCTAGATTTATTGCTGTCTTGTTCTTTATGCTCTGCTTTTGTTTTCCTGTCATCATCTTGTTGCTTGCTTCATTTTCTGGAGGCAGAGTAGCAGATAGACTTTCTGTTCAGCTCAGAATAGAACTGGTTGAATAGGAAATTCACTTTAAAACATCTGATTATCTGTGCAGACATGATTACAGTGCAGTGAAGCAACAAAAAAAGGACATTATATAAATGGAAAGCACTTCAGTACTTTGCTTTCCCCAGGGCCAGCAATGTGGGTCTGTGCTGGGATCTGGATTATTCATTGTATTCATAAATGCCTTCATTAGTAAGATTACAAAATTTCTTGATAATAGGTAGGTTACCCAATTAAAGATTAGACCTGATTATTAAAACCTGCTGAAGGTTTTTACATTTTGTTAGGATGATAGGATGAAAGAACGTACAGTGATGAACATAAACAAAAAAACGGTCCCAACTGGACATATGAAAACTTCTAACTTCAAAGGTAAAATGTGATCCCTCAGCTAATTCCTATCCCTCAGGAAAGACTTAAAGTTATTCTGATAATTGCTTTATGAACATGTTAATTTGTAGGAGGCGTGAGCAAGGGTTTCAGACTGAGGATGACTAAATAGTCCAAGGGGCTTCACCCTGAGACCAGCAGAGCAAATAAATGCTAGAAAATGTAGAAGGTAAACAGGTATCAGCTGTTGCATGGCTACTCTTACGTTAAGACCCTGTATTAATAGTTCCAATTACAGACATGTGCAAATGGAAGATCTACGATTTGATGGGCTTTTCCCAGTGCTTATGGATGCTTATGGCCACATTTTCTCTGCTGTGTGAAATTAGGAGTTCATAAATACACCCAGGTCAGATTTCCCAAAGTGGTCTACAGGACATGAAGCAGGGAAAGATAATACCAGGAACTGTTTCTAACAATCCAAGACTATTTAATCTTTGATCAATTTCTTTCTTTTTTATCCTGCAGACTTTGTGGCTTTGAACCATTTTATGATGAAAGGGGAGATCAGTACATGTTTAAAAGAATCCTGAACTGTGAATATGACTTTGTGTCCCCCTGGTGGGATGATGTGTCTCTGAATGCCAAGGATTTAGTAAGTAAAGGAAAAATGAGACTGGAGTATCTTTGCTGGTATGTACTTGCCTAGCATCACTTCCACAGAGAAAGAAAGTCCACTCTGAGGTGGGGGCAGCATAATTGGTTAAATAATTGTTTACATAGCTCCTTACTTTTCTTCTTTTCTCTGGTATATTATGATGTTGTATCATCTGTATTGTAATTTTGTTATATATCATCAGTGCTGTAATTTTGCTCTCGAAAACATGGTAGTTCAGGTCCTTCTGTGAACTGAGACACAGCTTGCTGGCAGCTGTCACAGCGTTCATGTGTGCCTGCCTTTCATGCTGGCTCTGAGGTGTCTCATCGTTCCCTTTTGCACAGCAGCCACCCTCAGGGGAACACAGAAATGAGCCTGACGCTCTCTGTAGTTTTCAGGTTTGAACTTTTGAGGAAGAACATAAAAAGGAGTGAAGCCCCTTCTACTCCACTTTTGCCAATAGCTTTTTTCTGTTCATTTAAGCTTTTTCAGTAGATGAGGAAAGACTGATTACATTTAAATATGGTCCATCAGCAAAATCTTGGGGCTGGTGTGCTATAAAGTAAATTTGTTCCAGGAGATACTGATCTGCAGATGTAAGTCTGCTTGATTAAGTTTGTTGATTTTTATTCAACAATAGCTTGCACAGTTCAGTTATTTAGTTAGCACTGAAGACACAAGTGCCAATTTCCATATTACTTACTCAAACTGTGTCTTAAAGTACTACATAACTAGTGTTTGTAAAGTACTTCAGGATGCCTCAAATGGAAGGACTGTAGAAGTTCAAAGTACTTTGTTGTTGTTGTTGTATTAGATGTGAAGTGTTTCTAAGGTCAAAATAATATCATACACTGCCTTGCGTTGTCAAACCCCAGATAAATAGCAGCCTGCAGCAAAGCCACTACTTTGTTGTGTACAGAGCACTTTGAACCAAACTAGTCCCTACCATTTTGCTACAGTAAAGGTCAGTTTCAGGTTTGAACATGGTATAACAAGTTGTAGACAAGGATGAAACCCTTGGCTCTCAAAACCCATGCTGTGGGCAGTTCTGGGGTGTTCAGCTGAAGTGATTTGTTTAACTTAACCTCTTTGGTGCATCCACAGCAGGTATTCATCATGATGCCTGTTCTCCTGCACACTCACCAGGGCACTGTCTTTCTTTAATAGCTCTTTGTATGGAGATTTCCAAGAGCCCTAAAGCGAGTCCTCCCGTCGGGCTTGAGCACGGGGCAGTGGTGAAGCCTGTGCTGTCACTTGCACTGTGCTCCAAGGGGGTGCACAGTCGGGAGGGTTGCGTAAGTGGAGCTCTGGCTGAGGACCATCCGTGTGCTACCTTACTCCATCCTCACCCTTCTTTTTTTTAGAACACCAATTGTCCATACACACAGCAAATCCCATGAAATGAAGCTTGACTGGACACGCTTTGTACCCCACAGTTTGTACCACCTCCATTCCCAGGGTTAGTTCTGCGATACCTTGTTCCCAAAAACGTTCTAGTGTTCATTTTGGAGAGGTGCAGCTTCCCTGGTCTTAAAAACTGAAACAATGGCGTAAACAGCATTCGTTTCAGAGTGACCCAAGAAAGAAATACCTGTACTGTACTTTTTAGGTCATGTGCACCTGAGGTTTTATGGTGACTGGAAGAAGCACTTCATTTGTGATGTACCTGGCAGTGACTGCATGGTACAAGTATTCATGAGTTGCCTATGCTAGAATTTAAACTTTCCAATCCAGTTTGTCTAAACCTTGTCCAAATCCAAAAGTGGTGGTACTGATAAGATAACTGCCTGGGTTGGGGTGTTTTGAGAATCTCTTAGGCTTTATATGACAATTCAGACATATGGCAGTCTACAGCAGATACGGGCTAGCTACATTGGTAAATACTCTTACAAATGGTGGTAACTGTTTGATTCTTTTTCTCCTTTCTTCCCCCGTAGAGGCGGTCTTATTCAGATGTTATTTATGGAGGAACAAGAAATGCCAGAAATAAAATACATACAAAGACCTTTTTTCTTAGAATGTTTTTTTCTGAGATGCTTTCCAAACCAAGATAAAAGCCCCAGAATGCAAAGCACAGTAAATATAAATGAAGACTAAGGTTAACAGTCTTCTGTATTTCTTCCTTGTGATGCAGGTTAAAAAGTTGATTGTTTTAGACCCCAAGAAACGCCTCAGCACTCTACAAGCTTTGCAGCACCCATGGGTCACAGGGAAGGCAGCAAACTTTGCACATATGGACAATGCACAAAAGAAACTGCAAGAATTCAATGCCCGGCGTAAACTTAAGGCAAGTCTTTGGATGTAGTCTCTCTGTTTTGGCTATGAAAGCATGCAGTTAGATTAGTAGCCTTACAGGAATCGTGCACACTTTTAGAGAATCATAGAATCATAGAAAGGACTTTTCAGGGCAACGTTCCAGAGTGATACAGAACTTTTTACTTAAGGTAGGTGGTGAGGGTGAAAAAGTTGAACCTGATTTAGTTGATGTCTACAGGCAAACCAGTACAAATGCGTGAGGCTGATTGACAGTTCTGTCTGCACAGACAGAACTGCTGAGGATGTCAACAGCTTTTGCAAATTCCTTCCCTTCTTCCTTCCTTTCTTCCTTTCTTCCTTTCTTCCTTCCTTCTCTTGATCTCTTTGTCCTGTACTGCATGTGCATCTTTAGAGTACAGGCCAGAAAGAGCAAAATTCTGAATAGTTTCTTCATGAGAATCCTTAAATCTGGAAGATACTTAATCTACTATAGTATATTTTGATCTGTAAGCTACCCTTAGTTTCTACACCTATAAATACCAAGCAGGACCTTAATCCATCCTTTTGTATGATCTAGACTCAGCATTTCAGACATAACATGTAGGTTGAGATTAACAGGTCCAAAAATGCTTTTCCACGTACCTCTGAGAGCAATTGTGCAATAGCATTCTTTATCTGGAAATTAAGCTCTACAAGGCAAGAATGCAGGTGGGATCTGTGCTGAAAATAACATTAGGTTTTGAATCACTACTATGCTCCTTTACCATCTAGTCTACATATCTACCATGGGAAGAAGCAGAAAAGCATTTTTAGGTGCAAACAGGAGGTAGCTGGGTATCTAACTGACATAACAACAGGAAACTTTCTTCTCCCCTAATCCCTTCTTCAGTTGTTAAAGATTTATGTATGCTTAGGAGAGACTTTCAGGGATACTTTAGCACAGAAATTGTTACCAACAGTTACAGTGAAGCTGCCTTTGTAGCCTTGGAGAATAAGAGTAAAAAGCATCTTCTCTGGGAGCTTTACAACCCCCATGCAAAACCAAATTCTCAGACAATGAGCCTTAACTTTGTTTTTGCGCATAGTTTTCAGTATTATTAGGGCCATAAATTTCATTATTTGTGAGTGAACTGTTACATTCTCTGCCCAGGAGGCCAGAAAGAAACACTTGCCCTTTCTGCATGTTTTTATTTTGATTATATTTTCACACCTTTGAACACCAATGAGATTTTTTTGAAGCCAAATTTATTTAGATCCCTGCAGTTAACCAATTTATAATTCCATGCTTAAAAGCTGTCACTTTTTGTAAGTTTATTTTGTCACTACTTTTCTATTAAAAACTGAATGACCAAATCTCCAGTTATTAAGAGAATTAAGTAGAGTTAGCAGTTATTGTAGCGTTTTACACATACATATGCATAAAATGAACCATGCATTTTTAAACAATTCCGATCCAAAAAACAAAACCAAGTGATGAATACATGATTTAGTTGCTGGTCTGTTAATAAGAATAATATAAAATCATCCTCTCTTTCCCAATATGTAGAGATATAGCTTTATAGAATAACTCTAAAGCTAATCATAACTAAAAGTCATGATTTGTTTTTTCATGGATTGTGTTGAATTTGTTTCATAAACATCCACATGGCTAGTGAAAATAAATTCCATTAGAAGTATCTTTATATGTTGTAATACAATAGAGTGGCCTGTTCTGTTTGTAATATGCTGTCCAAAATCCTGTGGTGTCTGTGATTTTTCCTTTAAGAGGTCTAAACTCTCACTTCCAAAATTATTGCCACTTCTATTGTCTCATGCCTTGTGTTTTGACTTAATATTCTGTGTTCTGTGATTCTTCTTTCTTGCTAGTGTTCATGTAGTCTGTTTTTTCCTTACCATCTTCTTTTTCTTTGGAGTTATCTGTCTGTCCACACCATCCACAAAATATACCCATCCACATAGTATATTCCTCAACCCTTGCTGCAGACCCGCTTTTTCTGCGGTGCCTAACCACAAAGCTAGCCAGCTCAAAAATAGCTAGAGTTGGCATACACAGATTCTTTTCCTCACCTCCATATGTTTGCTTTTTTCAGGTAATAAAACTCGTCAAGGCAAGGGCTGATACAACCGTCTTAATGTGTGTCTTCATTTTGTGACATTTTTTGGGATATGAGAGCCTATCCTCAATGTGTGTTTATATCTATATATGTATTTATGTATGTACCTGGGTAGTTGCCCATACGCTCTGCACCATTACGCTTGGCATATACAACAGTGCAATGGTGATACATATTGTGTCTCTTTGTGAACTTTCCATGGAATAATCAGTGGTAATACCGTTATCATTATGACAGAAAATAACTTTCTTTTTGCCATCTAACTTCAGCACAGGAGATCTGAGTAGTTTCCAAAAAAAAAGTGGCATGTGCAGCTGAAAAAAAAGTTCTGTTCATGTTAGCCAAGTTGTAACCTTACGAAAGCAGCACTTTCAAACCTCAATCCAGTACTTCAGTTGGTCCTCTGAATGCGTCCCGGCTCAGGCAGGCGTGCGAGCGTGACAGCACCCTGAGGACGAAATGCAGTTACGTACCCCCGTGGGGCAGTGCTAAGGCTACAATCCTCACAGACCATGCCCTTTAAGGAATGTTTGCTTGGTCCTGTCTTTCTCAGGCTGCAGTCAAAGCTGTGGTGGCATTTTTGGTCACAGCGCGCACGAGAGCAACAAGCCCAGCCGTAACCCCTCTCCGGTCCACGGCGAGAAGCCCGAAGAGAAGCCCGCTCAGGAAGCAGAAGCAGCGCCAGAAGCAATGTCTTAGGTCAATGTGCTTCCTTGTTTCAGCTGAGATTGTCGTTTCATACACCAGCCAACTTGTCATTCAGCAAGAGAGATTCGTAAGCTTGGCCTCTCTGGTTCTGCTTTGGGATGCCAAATGCACTGGCTGGTGGTCCTACCTTCAATGCATGTGACTGCTTATGAAAATAGTAAACTGTTCCATAAGGCATGTCATGGAAACAGTCTTATCTGCAGTAATACTGGCAAGTGAAAACATGGGGATGAATAACTACCTACTATAATGCATATACTTCATATACATCTATCCAGTGTTTCTACTTCATATACATCTATCCAGGGTTTCTAGATGGCATTTGAAACAAAATATTATTTAATTTGGTTTTATGGAAGTAGGTGTCGTCTGTATGTCGTGAGTTTCTGTGAACTGCTTTCTTCCAGATTCATAGTCCTGCAGCAGACAAACTGGAAGGAAACACCAAACCAATGCTTTTAAAACTGATGTACAAAATAATGCTTTTTATCTGTAAAATTCAAACAATATTTGGGGATTTATATGCAAAAAAACATTCCACTACTTCTAGGAAGAAATTGAAATGTTACTTCCATTGGGCATGAAAATGTACATTGCTCAAGCTTGTATTGAGAATGCCTTATTCTGACTTTTCCTGTTTATATACAGTATTTTAATGACAACTAAAATTACTCAGATTTCTGCCATTTCTATTATCTAGTAAAGTGTTATCTAGTAAACGGTTAGCAAAACAAAATGATAGGCTGAAAGAGGATTAGAGTAGATGTAGATTTTTGAAATACCATTCTATTTATTCATTAAACTCTAAACTGTGCAGCTAAAAGATGTTTTTATAAGGCCTAAGGGAATGATCTGCAATTATACAAGCTGTAAGTGCTTGAAGAAAGCTATTCCACAACTGAGGGATCTTGCTTGGGGGAAGCACTCTTATACAAGGCCTGCGAGCAGGTAGTATGGTGTAGTTGCCTCCCAGATAGTTTAACCTCATGAGTAACCAGTTTCCACTTCTCAGCGTAATTAGCCAAGATCTTCCTCACAAAGGACCCCTTCTGTAGAGTGATCCTCCAGCACAGATCTTGCATCCGCCCAGAGCTGCGGTGTCTTAAGTTAAAAGCTATGTGCATGGATCAGCTTGCAAAACTAGGGTCAGACTCTTCAGCTATCTTCATTTTTCTCTTGAACGTAACTTAAAAGAATTAAAAAATAACATGCCTCAGTATGTATGACCATTTATATGTGTTTGTTATCGCTCTGATAGCACGTGAATTTCGTAATGTTATTGATGTTGCATAAATGGCAAAAAGAACCTGTACAACGTCATTTGTGTTTGTTAATTTTTTTAATACTGATAGTTACCTAACACCCTAATATACTCAACATTCCTTTTTTGCTTTAACTCGGTTTATGTTAAGTTAGACCTTGCACAACTTGCCTTGAAAAACTATATCAGCTACTGAAAAAAAAATAAAATTAATAAAACATTCAGTAGCTACATTTCCTGATGAAATTAAAGGGTAATACAATGTTATTTATATGGTAGGTTTGATAAATAAAATGTAATCTAGATTAATGAAAAAACGAAGATTAAACATACTGTCTTTACTAGGTGAGAATGCATGCTAATGAATGTATTGTATTTGAGGGTTTTTTAACCATTTCGTACGACTCTTTGAACCTGTACAAAAACGTTTGCTAATTAAGTGTGGCTGAAATTTAAAGTACATCCATCCATCCATCCATCCTTCCCCCAGGTGACACACGCTGAGGTCAGATGAAACAGCTGGTGGAGGCATGGCAGCTGCAAACCGGCCAACAAGACACTTTTGCAGATTTTCCCTTGAAAACAAATACAGTAAGAATAATCACTTTGGAGAAGGCAATAGGTACACCCACTGGCATCACTTTTTACTGTCTTTCCTATCTCCTGCGAGGTGACTGCAGGACAAATGCATTTCTCAGCCACAAGTCTCTTCCCCCAGTTACAGTGATGAAGCCATCCGCCATCCAAGTTCGGTCGGTGGGGAGGTTTGACGGAGGAGGTTGAATTTTTGGAACAATTCCTCCTTCATTTGGGATAGTTGCTTCTACTATGAAAAATTAGATCTGGCTGCACAGTCCCTGCACATCTGAGTGCTTGAGCAGAAACATCTTCATCTGAGACATGGTTTGTTGAGCTGAAAAGTAGTCTTGAAGTTATTCTTTCTTCTTACACCGTAGCATGTTGTAAATATGAACAGACAAATGCTGCTGAAGACCTCTGTGTGACAGCATTTTCTTGAAGGCATTTCAGTCTCGCACATAAAGACTCTGGGGCTTTGGCTGGTTTTGCTTTGTTTTCTTTTATTATGCTCAGTATGAAACAATTGGGCAGGATGTCTGTGCGGAATGAATCACCGATACGTGACCCAGTAAATAGTATGCCTGGCTTACGTGTGACAGTACTATACAGAAGGAAGAGCAGCACTAGGGTGTATGCATGTAACTGAAGGAAGAAGTGCTACATGCATTGGTTTTGTCTGAAAAATCGCATCCAAGTGGCCATAATTCTGCCATAATTCAGACTTGAGAGTGCAAAACCAGCGTCTTACTGTGGCTGAAAAATATGAACACATCTGTCAACCACTGGAGGTAAACCAGTTCCACATCTGTGGTTATAAACTACGTAGAAAATTACTGATGTTCTTTTCTGTTAAAATCCTAAGCTTTAAGTTTTAAAAATGTTCAACATATTAGCAAAGTCCTTCAAGCACAGAAGGGGCAACCTTGCTGCCTTTTTGAAGTATTTGAACTTAGCAAAACTTTTCTTTGAAAGGTAGATTTTAATATTAACCAATTAAAGCTTAACATTTGCAAGCTAGGCTGAGGATCTGGTGGATGTTAAATGGCTGGCGACATCCTTGGCACAACAACAAGGGGTTTTACAAGTTCAGAAAGATTCCCTCCAAAACAGAACAGATTTCTTATCATCCTAAACACTTTTGCTTGCAACGTTGTAGATGAGACAGTAGGTTGTACTGCGTGAGCCTGGTGATATTTTGTTAGGTGAAGTTTGCACTTTGCGCTGTGCAGGCGTGCTGTAAAGCCGCAGGCACAGGAATCAAACTTTTGAATGCAAAAGCGCGTCAAGACGAAACTTTGTGATGCTGTTTATGCTTCAGAAAAAGGGTATTATGGGCTTTGTCCCTGAGAACAAACAGGCTGTCAGGCACGTGGAGAGGAGTGACAAAAACTGCCCAGCAGCCCATTTGCAAGCAGCCCACGCCACAGCTAATAAAGCAAAATGCTCTGAAAAGCTTTATGATACTAGAGCAGAATAAAAGCTGCAACCAAAAATTTTCTGTAAGGGGTTCAGATCGGATGGAGTCCCAGTCTGGAGGAGGCTGTGGCTCACTGGCCACCAGGCCTTGGCGCTTACCCAACAAAGATCCTTCTCCTTCAACTCATGCTGCGAGTGAAACACAGATACAGCTGACAGCCATGGTAGAAGTGAGGACAGCCCTGCATTTTCTGCAGCAGGGAAAGGGAAGATGATGCCAGGAGTTGTCAGTGTCCAGCTTAGCACGTGAGTGGCAGTATCTGCTAAGCATCAAATGCTGGCGGACTTTGGAAAATAAACACCCATTTCCAAATAACAATTGGCAACTTTCTCTCAGCTCCCACACACTTGCTGGGGCATGCTGTTACACAGAGCCCTGCAGTGCAGCTCTCGGGTGTTTTTCTGAGAGTGGCATATGGCAGTGCAGGGTGGAGGACTCCCAGCAGATCATTGCACTGTATCCTGCATGTTGCCTGCTTACAGGGTGATGGACACTCACAACTCTTAGCACAGTGCCTTGACTCCTGGCGTGTGTAGAGGCTGTGTATTTCCCCTGGTGGAGAACTCAGTTTTGTCTGGCTGTCTACCTTCTTGCTGCTCAGGTTACAAATGTATAGCTTGTGTAGGTGTGGCATTCAAGTAACAAAAAGTATCTTCATTCACGGGAGAAAAGCAGAAATGCAAAGACAGGGAGCACAATGGCAAGGATACAAGCAAGTTCTGCAGATAACAAAGGTAAATAAACAAAAAGGCAGCTCAGAATATCCTTAAAGTTACTTTATAAAACAATAATAGCTCAAAGAATGTCCTTTCCTCCGTTTCGCAGTAACTTCAGTTAGAATCTGCAGCCACAATAGTGAGAGTTCATTCTGCTGTTGTATAAAGAAATTTAGCTTTCCTGATAAGCCCTGGCACAATACAATGTTTCACTGAACAAAAAGCATCATCTGCACTGCAAAATAAGAAGAAAATATAATGGTAAGGAAGAGAGGAGAAAAACAGGAATAACACAATTGCCGAGTCTATTTCTATCTGGAATAGAAAGATCTTAGTTCCAGTACATGCGTAACCTATTACTGACGAGACTCTGGATTCTCCACATAAGCAAAATTTGCTTTATATCTGGGAGGTAGAATTGGCCCAAGTAATTCAGTAATGACTGTTAAAGGGTCAGTGTAAATCTGGGAAGCATTTCTTGCAGCATGTATTCTCTAACTTATATATGGATGGAACAATGGACATGCATTAACTAGAACTCCAGCAAAATAAAAATAAAAATTAAAATAAAACAAACAAACAAACAAACAAACACCACAACAAACCCTGCATTGGATACTGTTCTATCCCTCCAGAGTGGAATGGAGAACATGAATGCAGTCATGAGAGTGGTCGTTATCAGATACTGTGGGGATAGGTCTAGTACAGAAGTAGGAACAGAATGGAATAGTGAAAGTGCCCTGACCCTGAACTTATCAATAAAATTATACATGTGTATTGCTATATATAGATGCACACACAGACTTACATAAATTTATCAAAAGAGAGGCAGAGAGTGCTGAACAGTCTCTTAAAAGCTATGTCTACCTCAACAGTGGAGTAATCTTCTAAGCCATATTTTGCCCTTTGCCAGAATTACTCAGCTGGAGCTGAAACCATAGTGTTAAACATTCATGTGTACATGGATCACCACTGGATGAAATTCCATGTAATGGTTACCAAGGTATGAAATATTAATAAATACAGTAGTTTCCCCCCATTCTGGTTTATTCACACCAAGACACAGCAGCAAAAGGGTGCGTCAGTACCCTTGTCCTTTCACATGCTCAGAACATGGGCTGAAGTGGGATGACAATACAAGCACAGCATTTTGTGATGGGTTAGAGTTGCCCTAAACTGCACCTGCCCCTGCCCAGCAATGCTCCATCCACAGCACATGTGACCAAGAATTGACAGTGTAACCCTTAACTTGTGTATGAGAAGATACTTACTGGCCAAGGTATATTAAACAGTGTGTGTTCGCTCCTCTTAAGTAGCATAGAGCTCCTCCCATAGCGTCAGGTCCTTTTTTCTCTCTGCCTGAGAACGTGCAGCCTTCCACAGAGTTATGTGATGACAGATAAACAGCAAAGCTTAAAGGAAAGGGATCTCTGACTTTCAGTTTGAATCTCTGGTTTCAAGAACAAGTGTTAGCATGTATTCATGGCCAAAGGGCTTGTT